CACCACGCGCAGGACTAGCGACATCAAGTCTTCGCCTTCCCGGCCATATTCCTGCATGCGCAACAGGAAACTGTAGTAGAGAGCGGCATCGGTAGGCGAAGAACGGTGCTCCTTGACATATTCGTCATATGCGACGAAAAGAGCGTCAATGGATCCATCGTGGGAGTCTTGCGCGCGAAGGACGATATTGTGAATGGCATCGGAGACTACTGCGGTGTTAGTATATCCATTGATCGTTTTTTTGCCCTGATTATTTTACCTTCATCCCGACAGAGATCATCAGCTGTTATAGCCCTCGCATCATCTCCATTCAGCCTCATGGAGGATAGCATTCGTGCACGCGACTCGTTCGTCTCCGGCGCGTTCGCGACAACATGGAAGGGACCGGCGGCTGTAATGATTCGAACAGCAACCAAAAAGCAGCGGCATGCGAGAAAGGTGTCGTGGGTTCGTCGCGCAACAATTAAGCATTACAAGTCCAAAGTAAGAAGAGAGGAGCGATGAAGGGCTGTTGGTGCGCCCGCGTTTTGGCGTTGCAGCGACGCGCTTTGTTGTTGGAGTGGTTGGCCGCCCGCGTTCGTGGATGCGAGGGCGCCAAGGCTTTAGTTGGGTGGGCCCTGTTCGTTGACCTCATCGAGGTGGCAGAGCGTGGGTTCGCCGTGGCCAAAGAACTTCACGTATCTTGGGGCATCTACTTCTTAATAACACTGCTACTCATACTACTCGAGAGGGATACACAGTACTGCTCGAGATGCCCGGTCGAACCCGTCCCATCGATAAACTCGCCACAGCGGCTGCAAAATGCTCGACGGAGGTATGTCACGCCCCTCAGTGACAGTCAGGTTCAATTCGATGCTGACATATGCCAGAGCGCAGTGTATGGCAAATGCATCTTCGCAGACTATAACAACGTACGGAAAGACATGTGTGTCAACGAGTTCATGAAGCTCAAGGAGTGCTATCTGGTAAGATCTCCTCATAACATCAAAAGGCATCACAACTAACCCCACGCACAGAAGGCGTATAAGCAGCGGTGACGACACTCTTAGTGAACCATCATTCTCTTTGAAGCACACGGTCTACGAAGGCGTTAATTGTAAACATAGAAATTTTGATTTCATTTCATCAACAAGTCATGCGCGCCACTATACTATCGAACCACTCCAGGAAGCTACTATAGCTTGATCAACCGCAACATGAAAGTCGCCTTATGGAGCTCTTGCTCCTCCTCTGCAATAACCTTCTCGTTACTGTTCTCCGGGATCTTGCCCTCAACCTCAGTAATGACGTGCTTGTCCACAGGTCTTCGCAAAGCCTTCTCAAACAATGGGCCCTGGTTCTCAAACGCCTGCTCCAGTCCTACACTTTCCGGATCGCTCAGCACTCGGTACTCCATGCCTACGTCGTCAGTTGGCACCAGTCCGGCCTTCTTGCGCAGATCTTGTACACGGCGGATGACCTCACGAGCGAGGCCTTCTTGCTCGAGCTCTGGATATGAGGCGACGTCGAGGAGAATGAGCACATCGTTGTCTGTGTTGAACTCCTGGTCCTTGTTGCTAGAGTCCTTTGCGAGACCGCGCTTGACCATCAGATCCTCAGCCTCAAGCTTGATTCCGTCCACGACGATCTCGCCATTCTTCAGGTAGTCCTTGATGTCTTGGCTCTTGAGGTTTGGTAGCGCCTTCTTGACCTTGATGGCGTCCTTCTTCAGCTTCTTGCCGAGAACAGAGAAGTCGGCCGTAGCCGAGTACTGGACGTTGTACTTCTCCTCATCGCTAGAGAGCACGATATCGCGGACGTTCAGCTCCTCCAGGATGTAGTTCTCCAATGACTTGATGTCGTCAAGATATTGTTGTTCTGGGTGGATGACCACCAGCGTCTTCAGCGGAATCTTCAAGCCCTTGTTGGCACGGTCACGGCAGATACGGCCAAGCTCAATGACTGACTGCATGCGCTTGACTTGGCGCTCGACATCCTCGTCAAATAGCTCCTCTCGCACTTCTGGGAAGGGAAGGAAGTGGATACTTCGGTTGTCTTCCGCGTGCAGTTCCTTGGGGATGTGAGGTAGTAATCGCAGGTAGATGTTGTCTGTGATGAATGGTGTGAAGGGTGCGAGACCGCGGCAGAGTGTGTAGAGAACTTCGAAGAGGGTGTTGAGGGCGTGTTTGGTGTCCTCCAGACCGTGCTCACCCTTTAACCGGCGACGGTTGAAGCGAATGTACCAGTTTGTTGTGTTGTCAATGAGCTCCAATAACCGCGGAACCACGGTGTACAGCCTGTACGCAGCCATCTCCTCGTTCACGAACTTTAGCAGCGACTGGGTGGACGCGAGGATCCATCGGTCGAGCACGTTCTTGTTGGTCTTTCCAGCTGCCGGGTCGAATACGAAGTCCAGACTCTCGACCTTCTTCAACAGCGAAACTTGTTGCTCGAAGAACTGGTAGCTGTTCCAGAGAGGTAGAAGAACCTTGGAAACGATCTCCTTAACACCAGCTTCCTTGAATCGAAGTGTCTCGGCACGAACGACGGGAGAGTTGATGAGGTATAACCGCAGCGCATCAGAACCGTAGTTGGTCATGATCAAGTTGGGGTCAGGGTAGTTCTTGAGACGTTTTGACATCTTTTTGCCATCTTCCGCAAGTACGATTCCGTTCACAACGCAGTTCTTGAAAGGAAGCTTGCCAAAGAGATGTGTTCCAAGGACGGTGAGTGTGTAGAACCAGCCACGAGTTTGGTCGAGACCTTCGGCAATGAAGTCACCAGGGAAGGACTTCTCGAATTGCTCCACGTTCTCGAATGGGTAATGCGCGCTGGCGTAGGGCATGGAACCAGACTCGAACCAACAGTCAAAGACTTCGTCTGTTCTTCGGAGCACGCCCTTGCCGTCTTTGCTGGGAATGGTGATGTGATCGATCTTATCCCGGTGAATGTCGGTTAGCTCGCCCTCATACCCGCTGAGCTTCTTCAGCTCCTCCACGCTACCAATGCAGACCACCTCTTTACCGTCATCGCTGACCCATATCGGGAGTGGCGTACCCCAGAACCGGTTTCGTGAAACGGCCCAGTCAGGTGAATTGGTGATCCAGTTGGCGAAGCGCTTCTCTTTGACAAAGGAAGGAACCCAGTGCGAACCAGCAATGTTCTCCAGCATTTGCGGTACGATGTCCTGAATCTTGATGAACCATGAGGGGACCGTTCGGTAGATCAAGGGTGTGTCAGACCGCCAGCAGAAGGGATAGCTATGGAGAAGTTGTGAGTCTACGATCAAGCGACCGGTTCCTTTCAGGTGCTTGATGATTCCCTTGTCGGCCGCCTTGACGTGTTGGCCCTCGAAGTCGCGGACAACCGCGGTGAAGCGACCCTGGTCATCGACTGGGTTGGGTGGCGGTCGGGTGTCAGAGATGACACCGTGGGCCTTTGCAACGCGGTAATCGTCCTCTCCGTATGCGGGGGCCTGGTGAACGATACCCACACCACTGTCTGCTGTGACGTAGGTGTCGTTCGCCACCTTGAAGCCGTAGTCCTTGAAATCGTCGTAGAGGTAGTCGAATAGGGGCTCGTATTTCCAACCCAACATATCCTTGCCCTTCAGCTTCTCCACAATCTTGAATTTGGCCTTCTTCGGGTCCTTGTATAGTGTGCGTAGCAGGGCTTCGAGTAGGATGTAGTGTTTGCCGGACGCTTCGTCGAGAATCTTGACGTATTCAAAATCGGGGTGCGCGCAGAGACCGGTGTTGGATGGGAGTGTCCATGGCGTGGTGGTCCTGTTCGGGCTGGTCAGCGCACGCCAGTAGCACTGGGTTGGAGTAAGTAGCTTACCATGCCAACAAGCACGTGTTCGGGTCTTCGAGTAGCGGAAATGTGACGACTACTGCTGGGTCCTGAACGTCCTTGTAGTTCTGCGAGGCCTCGAAGTTGCTGAGAGGCGTCGCCAACGCTGTGCTGTAGGGCATGACCTTGTAACCCCGGTATACGGCACCCTTGTCGAAGAGACGCTTGAAGACCCACCACTCCGACTCCATGAAGCTGGTGTCCATGGTCTTGTAGTCGTTGTCGAAGTCGATCCAGCGACCCAGACGGTCGATAGTCGCCCTCCATTCGGTCGCATATCGCATGACAATCGCGCGGCACTTCTTGTTGTACTCAGCGATTCCGATTTCGCGTACAGCGTCGCGTCCCGACATGCCCAATTCCTTGTCGATCTCGTACTCAATGGGCACACCATGAGTATCCCAGCCGAACCGTCGCTCGACATAGCGGCCCTTCATGGACCAGTAGCGGGGGATAATGTCTTTGATGGTCGAGGCCAGGAGATGGCCATAATGCGGCATTCCTGTCGCGAAAGGCGGTCCATCGTAGAAAGTGTATGGTTGCTTTCCTTTCGACTATGGCGAGTTAGCATGTGTCGACCACACGTGCTTGGGTTCACTAGGCTGTAGCATAGTCACGTACTAGCTCGACTTGTCTCTGGAAGGCGTCAATCTCCTTCCAGCGCGCGAGGATGCGCTCCTCTTCGCTCGGAAAGTTCATAGACATGGTGGCGGCGTGAGTATGCTGAGACAGAGCCGTGGCGGGGAATCTTTTTCTAGAGCCTAGAGTTGACTCCTCCGATCCCCGCCATTAGCGTGACTCAGCCGCTTATCGATAGCACCCCGCCATACCCAGGCATCGACGACGGATGACTCCTGCAACTAACACCATCTCCTGGTCGTAGCGAAGCTCGCCTCACTACACAGCTATCTTGTAATCAAGTGAGCTGTGTCATACAATTCAATCCGTCTTTGCAACCGCCAAGTAGAGCTATTCATCGTAACTGGAAACGTCAGAGCATACTCGCCATGAAACGTCGCATACTTACATCTGTGTTGCGGCTCTGCGGCAACTGAGAAGGGTTGAAACATTGACAGGTCTAGCTAATTACGATGAAGATTTCAAGCCGATGTGGCAGCCCTCACCTCCCACTCTTGGCTGGGCATTCTTATCACATCCTTCGATTAACGATGCGCTTTCTCATCTTACTTATCACTTCATTCTTCACGCTAATAGTGGCCTCAAACAACCCGTTCAGTAACCCATCTATTCAGCCTCCGCAAGGCGGCGACACGATCATCAACCCCAGAGATGCCGACATCGACAAGACATGTAGACGCTTACGTACGTTGACACAGCTCAACAGGATCGCACATAACGAGACCCTCATGAACATGATGACCATGCGCGACAAGTTCGCCCAACAACGCATCGATTGGATCAAGAGCAACAGTGACGACATCACTGCCAAACTCGACAAGCTGACATCCAACTCAACGCTGACAGCGAAGTGCGACACCATCAATGCGCAGCGCGACACAGCTCGTAAATGCAAGGCATTAGTGACCTTGGAAAGACTGGTAAATTCGACGAACGGGCAGACCGGTTTCAATGGAGGACCTGCTACGGACTTTCTCAGCGATGAGCAGGAACAGAAGTTACAGCAAAAGTTCGAGAAAGCGGAACTCAAGCTGCAGCAACTCAGGAGTAATACTACATTGATGGGTCTCTGTAGCAATGACGTCGTATCGCAGCAGAATGGCGCCATTGGAAGTCGTAAGCATTTTTCTACAGTGCGAAACCGAAATGTACTGACTTACATACAGAAGTGGTTGACAACAGCGGCGCCATCAGCATGACGAAAAGTAGTGCAAGGAGTAATGTGCATGAATCAGGAAATGCTTCATCGCTGATGATTTTCATGGTTCTGATGACAGTGTCGATGCTGTAGTACTCCCTTCCTTTATGTTGGAAACAATAGCCGGATAAATCGCGTCACTTCGTCACTTTTTGCGGTTACATGCATAAAGAATTGGGGCACGTGGCGGGGTGTTCGACGACGTGCATCTTGTGGCGTAGTTGTAAAGATGTGCGAACTCAATTCCAAGTCATGGTCGTCGCATCAATATTTACCTTGGTCAATGCGGTTCTTTGTGGCACAGCTCTACCTGCATAACAGAAACGACAGAGCACCTTGCCAGACATCGAGATGATCATGACGAGCAATACCGATCGCGCATCTGTGCATGAAAATCCCGTGCGCTGTACGCCACAAGGGATACCCTTAATTGTAACGACGATAACTACACCGCGTCTTCGATCAAAACGCCCCGTTTCTGTGCTGGTCACCCCATCCACCCACTCTTCCGGGCGTACTTCCGTCTTTTGAGTTGCCGTCAAGATACCCAGTGGTATGGCGACATTCGACTTCGGCGATCCACCCCCGGGCCTTGACCTCAGCGAGTCACGTACAGTCGGAAACAGCGTTGTCGCAATCATCTTATTTGTTCTTTCGGGTGTGTTTGTCGCTCTACGGCTGTTTACTCGCATAAAGTTGAAACGGGAACAGCTGGGTTGCGATGACTACTTAATTCTTGCTGGGTTGGCTTTGAACGCGGGAAATCTCGCGTGCTGTATCGTTGGTTGGTGGCCGACTGCTGGGCAAAGTCTTGATCTTACTAACGCAGTGAAAAGGTGGTTACTATGGCCTGGGGCGACACATCTGGGCTCTAGGGCCTGAACAAATGCGACATATAACTATCGTGCGCTTACGTGCCTGGGCAGACTCTTGCGGGACTGACATTTGACAGATCACCTTCGCATACGTTTTTGTCTACGCGTGGAGTGTCTGTGTCATTAAACTCTCCATCCTCGCTTTGTATCGACGTATCTTCGGTATAAACTGGTTGGGTTGGTTCTGTGTTGGCATGACCGCTGCCTACCTGATCACGAACCACGTCGTTCTGCCATTGTACACTCGACCGTTGAGCTACTACTGGGATCAATGGAATGGGGCTCACGGAGAGATTCTCGTCGATGAGGCAAAGGTGCGCCGCAGGTACCCCCCCTTCTGAATGAAGCTGTCTGCTTACACGATCGCAGTTCTACCTTGGAGCTGGGATCTTCAATCTCTTCGGCGATGTGTGTATACTTTGTATACCCATATCCAACGTTATCAAATTGCAGATGAAAAGAATGGAGAAAGTGGCGATCTGCTTTATCTTCCTGCTCGGCAGCTTGTAAGCACTGCGAAGTAAGGAAACCGTATTGTTTCTAATCATCGTAGTGTGTGCTTCGCCTCGCTTTATCGTATCATCACCATCGTCCGATTGATGGCCTCGCCAGACGTCAGCTGGAAAAAGAGCGATGTCTTCATATGGTCGTCCGTCGAGCCATCGATTGGCATCATCTCTGGATGTCTTCCAACGCTTCACCCGCTTTTGATTCGTATAACGCGCTGTTTGGCAGGTGCACTCGGTGTTACACCGAGCCATACTCCGGAGCAGGAGGGCCCTGAGAGTCGCGAGACTGGGTCGAGGACGATCAACGCTTGGACAGAACGCTGGGGTAGAACTCGGCCAGCCGAAGAAGATTTGTGCTTGACTACGACAACAGTGTGCGGATCTGCTAATGAAAATGATGGGATCACCTGGCAAGACTTCATCCTGGGACGCCATGAAGAGAGGAGGATTACTATGACGCATGAGTTTGCGATAGACGAGAGCATACGGAGTCGCAACAGCTCAAGATGAGACTAAGCTTTTGCACGTTGCTATGAGATGAGATTTGAAGCATGTATCACCATTGGCAGCTCAAGCGACGAGCACGTTCGTTGGAGGACTTCAGGCGCGAGGTAGAAGGGAAGGCGGCCGTGTTGGCGGCAATTGAGTAGGGCGCGCCGCTGCAGATACTCGGTTTGGAGGGCGAGAAGGGTCGACTTCAACAGACACCATCCGAAGTTTCTGGGATGATGCAGGTGTCTGAGTTGTCGACTTCGGAAGTCCGTTGCACCTGTCGGGTGCATGCAAGCTAGCGCAGAAGGGCCCCCAGGTCACATGTCTGCCTCAGGGCTCGGCGCGACCGCCGAAACCCCGCAATACTACTTCGTCTCTTCTTCATCCACTGAACTGACACCTGCGCACGATTTATCCGTCAAATATGCACAATGACTGTGAGGCGTCCGGACATAAGCCCCCAATCTGTTTCCTGGCCGGTGCGAGTGTGACACGGCGTACATGCCTCGAATTTGCGATGCCACCTGGGCAGACTCTTGGCCATACCACCCGAGAAGGAACTCTAATAGTAGATCCACGACTCATTGTCCCATTGACACTGCGTTCGGCCCGTATGCTACGATTGCAAGAGAATTGAGAAGATCAAGGTAGATCATTCACTTCTACAATCATTGAAGAATGTCGGGACATGGTGCCGGTCTCCGCATTTGGCACCCCGCATGCTGGAGGTGGCTTGTCAAGCCTACCGTGTTTTTCGCACTGGGTATAAAGACTGCTTGTCGCTTAGAGCCTATGATGATCGGTTGCCAAGTCTTTCTTCTCCGTCGATATGTTTCGTGCATCGTTGGTATTGCTTGTCTCGCACTTTGCGCTGACTGGATTCGCGGCTGCATCATCTGAATTCGAGCAGAAGTGTCTCGCATTCGAGCCCGAGAGATATGTCACAGGCGCAACCCGCAATGTTCTCCAACATGTGCCGGCAGGAATTAATTTGACGTTCCCTGACAACGACGCGACTTGTGGACGTGCTAGCCAGGTTGCGTCAGTGGATCTTTGTCGTATGGCACTGGAGATCAAGACGACTAGAACTTCTAAGATCTCTTTCGAGGCCTGGTTTCCGGAGGACTGGTCTGGTCGATTTTTGGCAACGGGGAACGGAGGCATTGATGGCTGTAAGTGTTGGATGGATAGGATGGCGTGTCAAGCGCAGCGAGTGCTGACCTTGACCACAGGCATCAAATACGAGGATATCGCATATGGAGCGTCAAATGGCTTCGCTAGCGTTGGCGCAAATAATGGTCATAACGGTACTACAGGAGTCGCCTACCTCAACAACCCAGAAATGGTAGTCGATTTTGCCTGGCGATCGTAAGCATGTCTCTGCTACTCACGGCATATATACTCACCGGTCATACAGTCTTCACCTAAGCGTCGAAACTGGCAAAGCCTTAGCCAAGGAGTTTTATGGAAAGTGCCATACCAAATCGTACTACCTGGGCTGTTCTCTCGGTGGACGCCAGGGCATCAAGAGCGCAGAGAAATTCCCGAATGACTTCGATGGCATTGTTGCCGGCGCTCCAGGCGTCGATTTCAACAACCTCATCTCCTGGCGCGCACACTTCTACACCATCACCGGCCCCATCAAAGGTTCAGACTTCATCTCGAAGACAGCATGGCAGACTTGGATCCACGACGAGGTGCTACGCCAATGCGATACCATCGACAAAGTCAAGGACGGCATCATCGAAGACCCGACCCTTTGCAAGTTCGATCCTACAACCCTACTCTGCGGTCACAACATCACAAATACAACCAACTGCCTAAACGACAACCAAGTGCAGCAACTCCAGAAAATATTCAGCGACTACCGCTTCCCAAATGGCGAACTGATCTATCCCGCCATGCAACCCGGCAGCGAAATCAACGCCGTCGATAAACTCTACGCCGGCGCCCCCTTCGCCTACTCAGACGACTGGTTCAAATACGTCGTCTACAACGACCCAACGTGGAACGCATCGGAATACGGTTACGACGACGCGCAAGCAGCGCAAGACCTCAACCCAGGAGATATTCGCACCTACCCTTCTTCTTTCCCTGGATTTAAGGAAAGCGGCGGGAAGTTACTCATGTACCACGGCCAGCAGGATAACCAGATCACGTCTTTCAACACCGACCGGTTTTATGAGCACCTTCGCGGTCACAACACGTACGCAGAAATGGATGAATGGACGCGTTTCTTCCGTATCTCGGGCATGTTCCATTGCAGCACGGGGCCAGGGGCGTGGGTGTTCGGTCAGGGTGGAAATGCGGCGCAGGCTGGTATTCCGTTCGATGCGAAACACAACGTTCTTGCGGCGATGGTGGAGTGGGTGGAGAAGGGTGTTGCGCCAGAGGTTATTGAGGGCACGAAGTTTGTTAATGATACTGTGAAGAGTGGAGTGGACTTTACGAGGAGGCATTGCAAGTATCCGGCGAGGAACACGTTTGTCGGGGGTAGTTATAAGAAGCCTGAGAGCTGGGAATGTAGAGCATAGGCTGAGAAACAAAATCAAACTGTCTGCTCAAGTAATGGAAGTCGCGATAACATACTGTTCCTCATTCCGGCCTTTCTTCATTTTGCGATCACCTTGCACAATGAGAATCCTGAACAGGTTTGCAGCATACATTAAAATAAAAGCACGCAACGTAGCTGATCTAACGTCAAAGTAGGCTCCGGGGGTTTTAAGTTTTTTCTTCTTGAACGAGGTGCGATGCTGCCGAACGGTCGCTGTGGTTAATTCAGGGTGCGTACTTCGAGTTCAGACGACGCCGTGGTAACAATGCAGACGCGGGCAATCGACGGCTTTCGAGAAGTTGCCTGATTTGGACTGCGTCAAGCAATGTGCAACAGCCTCGCTCAACCCCTCCAAAGCCTGAGATCTGATCCTCAACTGAAAAGCTTTCATTCGCCAATCCACAAATTCTCTGCTTAGTTTGCGGCGCGTTCCTTCAGTTCTCTGGAAGCACTATCCAAGTGTTTCTATCCTATGACAACGGGGCGGTAATCGCTAAACGAGCTCTGCCACCATGTACGGCGTTCCCAAGGGTAGCCTGTGAGGGCTATATGCTCCGCTTCGCGCCCAGTATGTCCAGCTAGAGGCAGGAGGTCTTGTCCTAGCATATGATTGTTGTACAGGCGTTTTGCAATGCTGGGTAGGTGCACCAAACCAACTCGTTC